AGCAAAGACAGCGAGAAGCGGGGGCGGCGGGCCCGCGGCGTCGAGGCAGCGCGGGCCCGGAAGTGGCGAGCACGCCGGAAGCGAGCGCAGGCATGGGCGTGGCGACGGCGCGGCAGTTCCGGCCGACGTGACCTTCCCAACATGGCGGAGGCCCGGCGTGTGTGAGGGTGGATCCAGGAGGTTCCGAGGCCAATGGCGGACCGCTAGAGGCGCGGGGGCGGGGAAGACAGCGGCCGCATGCCCAACCCGAGGCTCGGGAGGTGGCTGGGGAGTGAATTTTCTGGAAGGCGACTTTAAAGGCGCCGGGCTGTAGCGAAGGGCGTTTCACTGTTGTCGCTGTCGTCCGGGCCGGGGAGGAGGCGCATCAGTGGCAGGAAGGGAGCTGCGTCGAGATCCGAGCGGAACCAGCTGGTGACCCTGCAGGATGAACCACAAGAGCAAGAAGCGCATCCGCGAGGCCAAACGGAGTGCGCGGCCGGAGCTCAAGGACTCGCTGGACTGGACCCGGCACAACTACTACGAGAGCTTCTCGCTGAGTCCGGCGGCCGTGGCGGTGAGGGGGGCTGTGCGGGTGTCGCGGGGCCGGGCACCAGCACCTCCAGCCGCCGCTCACCTTGCCCAGGGCCCGGGGCTGCCCCTTCCTCTCGCCTCGAGCGCGGCACCCCGCGGAGTTCGGGGTCCCCGAGGCCCGGATTCCAGGGCGGGCCTCCTCCCTCCCACGCCGCAGCTGCCCGCCTTCCCGGGCGACTGGAGCTCCACGCCTTTGGCGCCCTCGACTAGAATGCTTGTCGCCCCTGACCCTTTTGGGTGGCGGGGCCCTAGGGAACCTGGCTGTTAAGGCTCACGAATGGAGATGTGAAGTACCCTTCCCTCCTAGGGTGGTTCTGGGTGCGACGTGATCACACGCGCGCGGGCCTTTTCCCCCGCCCGAGCAGGAGCCAGAACGAGAATCTGGCTTCTTAGGTGTATCATTGCTGATTGGCCCTGGGAGACACCCTTATCTGCCACAGGACTTCTTTTTCTTTTCTTTTCTTTTCTTTTCTTTAACTGGGCAGGTTTTTTTGTTGTTCTCTCAGGACAACGTGGAAAGAGCAGATGCTTTACAGCTCTCTGTGGAAGAATTTGTGGAACGATATGAAAGACCTTACAAGCCCGTCGTTTTGCTGAATGCCCAAGAGGGCTGGTCTGCTCAGGAGAAATGGACTCTGGAACGCCTAAAAAGGAAATACCGAAACCAGAAGTTTAAGTGTGGTGAGGATAACGATGGCTACTCAGTGAAGATGAAGATGAAGTACTACATCGAGTACATGGAGAGCACTCGAGATGACAGCCCCCTTTACATCTTCGACAGCAGCTATGGTGAGCACCCCAAAAGAAGGAAACTTTTGGAAGACTACAAGGTGCCCAAGTTTTTCACTGATGATCTTTTCCAGTATGCAGGGGAGAAGCGCAGGCCCCCTTACAGGTAAAGTATCCTGCTACTAAGTGGTTACAGTCTTACATACAACAGCATTTGTTAGCTAAGCTCAGTCGCTATTCTTTTTTTCAAAAACAGTGACTGGTTCTCTCTTGGCTGCACCTCGACCTCACTTAGGGGGCTGATGATGCCTGCCTGGGTCCTAATGGGGGACCCTCTGATGTAATTGGTCTGAGGTGCTACTACCTAGGCATCAGAATTTCTGAAAACTCCCCAAGTGCAGCTAAAGTTGAACCACTGATTTATAAGGAAAGTTTTAATAGCTAAAATCCAGCAATAAACTGTCAGTGATTTTCTTTATTCTGTTAGAAAGCCATCTATGCACAATTCACTGTTTCTGTGTGATAGAACTTGTATAGTCTCTGAAATAAAGATGATTATCACAGATCTAAAAACTTACTGTTTTGTGTTTGTGTGTGTGTGTGTGTATAATTAAATTGTATTTCATATTTTGGGTGTCTCCATCCTGTAGGTGGTTTGTGATGGGGCCACCACGCTCTGGAACCGGGATTCACATCGACCCTCTGGGAACCAGTGCTTGGAATGCCTTAGTTCAGGGTCACAAACGCTGGTGCCTGTTCCCTACGAGCACTCCCAGAGAACTCATCAAGGTGACCCGAGAAGAAGGAGGGAACCAGCAAGATGAAGCTATTACCTGGTTTAATGTTATTTATCCCCGAACACAACTTCCAACCTGGCCACCTGAATTCAAACCCCTGGAAATCTTACAAAAACCAGGAGAGACTGTCTTTGTGCCAGGTATAGATGAACTGGAAGAAAATTCATGCTTTGATTTCAGTATTTTGTCATTTTGGAGCAGAACTATATAGAGAGTGAGTCAAAAAAATCCTTTTGCGTGCTGTCTGGTAAATGAACTGATTGTAACCTGCCTCTAACAATAATATGTAGCTATACCTCCAAATATTCTGGGAGCTATTGTCCATATTTCAAGTAACTATAGAACTCTTCATAAATTTTCTGTAAAGATCTTACTTTTCTTTATTTATCCCTAGTTGTTACCTAGTGTCTTTGCATATGTGTGGTGGCTAGCATAGCATTTCTGTCTGGTTTCTGATACAGTGTAGTACTGGGTAGGTTGAGTCAGGAAATAGTGATTTAGAGAAGGCAGGAAATCTCACAGCAGACAAGAATTTCTGCATGTATAATTTTGGCCACAACTTTGGATTACCAGAGGCCAACACACTTTTTCTGTAAAGGGCCAAAGAGTAGATACTTTAGGTACTGTGAGGCAGACAGTCTCTGTCACAGCTGTCAACTCTGCCCTTAGAGCAAGAAAGCAGCCCTAGGAAATACACAAAGGGATAGGCATGGCTGTGCTCCAGTAAAACTTTATGTACACAAACAGGTAAATTGTCTACAATCCTAGATCAGGAGGAACATACACTTTTCTATGTCACATCTCTGAAGCTCTCCCTTATGGGTAGGAATCTCCCAGTTTCTGGAGTTTATGTTACACAATGATTGTGTATAGGGTCAAACCCTGTTTAACTGTTTATTTGTTGGATTTCAGGTGGCTGGTGGCATGTTGTCCTGAATCTTGACACCACTATTGCCATCACCCAGAATTTTGCCAGCAGCACTAACTTCCCCGTTGTGTGGCACAAGACGGTAAGAGGGAGACCAAAGTTATCACGGAAATGGTATAGGTGAGACACATTTTTTTTCTTATTTCTGCTTTATTCCGTCTCCTACCCCAGAGATAAAATAGAGAGAGGCCACTGCTGCAGTGGTGTGTGCTGGTTATAGAGAGGCCTGGGAACAGCTGGGGCCGCCAACTCTGGGTAGAGGAGAGAGGGGCTGAGATCAGGGCTAGCCTTCAGGATGTTTGCCAGCCTCGAGGTGGCAGGGTAAGGCTCTGCATGTTGGACCCAAGCCAGTCAGTCAGAACATGGTCACCATTGGGATTGTTTCTCGTTTTGTTTGTTTTTTGTTTTGTTTTGTTTTTCAAAGCTAGTGCTAGCAAAAGAAGCCATTTTGTTTGGGTTTTATTTTGGTTGTTTCTTTTTCTTGCCCAGAAGCATTATTCCCATTTGAACTTATTGCCTTCAGTTCTTGTGAGTGAGGTGACTGCCCTGGAGACTTAGCTCCTCTGTTTATCCACAGAACAGATACAGCACGGGCAGCGGCAGTGCAAGCCACCCCCAGCCACCCCGTGCCACTGTGTCCCAACCCTGACCTGGAGGGACCAGCTCTCGGGGTAAGAGAGGGATTCTGGCTTGTTCAGTGCTCAGCCTCCCTGCTGAGAGGGCCAGCAAGGGTGGTGGCTTCTATTCTCTCCGGACTCTTGGGCATCTGAGGCCCACTTACACTGCCTCGTAGGCCACTATGGCTGCAATTTGGTCACTCCACAGGCCTTATCATACAGCAGGTCTGTAACTGGTTACAGTGGATGCCAGATTAGGATCTTGAAGGGGAGGGCTGCTTAAGTCCAGTTCAGTTTTACCTTCCCAATGAGGGGGCACTGTCTCTGTTATTTGACACTTCTTATTTCTTACAAACCTAATTGTTTCTACTCTTACAAATAGAATGTAACCAAACCCAAGACTGATCATTATGTGCTGTGCTATGAAAAGGAAAGGTTTTTTAAGAATCAGCTAGGAATGGTTCAGGCAAAAAAAAAAAAAAACTAAAACAAAACCTAGGAAAAGGAACCACTTTATCTTAAGGGAAAAGAACTAAGACTAACTCAAGGAAATTTTGTCATGTATTGGTGGCATGGCTGGCTTTCTTATGCAGGTAGTGGTGAGTTGCATGTAGCTAGTGGATAGCCTTCCTTGTAGAAAACACAGACAGCATATTGGGGTTCTTGTTCCCAGCCGGGACTTGGTGTCCTCACTGTGATAAAGTACCCATTCTGAACTGACACACTGGGCATTTCCAGGTGTTTCTAAGAGACACAGGTCTCACTTTGAGTCTCTGTGAGTAGGTATTGCTGCCTTCCCTGCACTGAGAACAATACTTCTTGTCCCTCAGGATCTTGAAGCAGGAGCACCCCGAGTTGGCAGTCCTGGCAGACTCAGTTGACCTTCAGGAATCCACAGGCATAGCCTCTGACAGCTCCAGTGACTCCTCCAGCTCCTCCAGCTCCAGCTCATCAGACTCAGACTCTGAGGTGAGGCCTTGCCTGCGCCTGGCTCATGTTACCCAGTTCTGTCCTGAAGGAAGAAAGATAGAAACATTTTTTTGCTTTCTTCCAAGGGTTACAATTTTCAACATTCCTGCTAGTGGTATATTTTACAGCTTTGCACATAGGTGTGTGAATTGTTAAAATAACCTTGAGAGGTATCAAGGTATTTGGGCTTTAGTGTAGAAAGTGACCCAGGTCACACAGCTAGCAAACATCCA